TTTCGTTGGTCCCTGGCAGAAGTTGGAGAATGTCACAGACAGCGTTCACTGTTCAATTTTCGTCTCTGTCCATGTTTCGTACCTGTACGGCATTAACTTAAGCACAGCGGTACAGAATAGACAAACAGGATTCTTTTGGCTTGATCTTTTAAAGCCGTTAACGATGCTGTAAAATTACCGCTCACTTTATTAGGTGTTGACAGGCAGTCGATGACCCTAAGAAGAAGACGGCGATTTCCTTGCGGATCGTTAGGCAACACGACCGAGAATGCTTCCACAATCATGCTGTAAATTGGCGTTGAAATTAGCGGTTCTGGTAGCTCGCGCAAAAAATCTTTTACGAGACAAGTTAGCACATTTGTATCTGGAACCGCTTCAACGCCAAGATCAGCCTGTGCCACATTCAGCTCCAACTCTTCGCGCAACAGACGCTTCTTTTCCACTGAACCACACACTGCAATTACATATATAATTGCTACTCCTTTTTGAAAATTTACCTATCGGTGTGTAGCCACTGCGTTCCAGCAAACAGCAACGCGTTTTCCGATGCAAGAACTATCCGGCTGGAGAATGTACAAAATTATCTAAATTCACCACATTCTGGGTATGGTCCAGGATGCTAAAAATGCCGAAAATATATAACGTTTTGAAACGAATAGACGGGCGTCGCGTTTTAACTGATCGCACAGCAGAAATGCACAACCGCTTAGGATTTTCAATGCGCAACGCGTCTCTTCATCAGTGTATGAGAATATATTCGATATTCCATTGCGGGAAATGCAAAACGAATGCACCCACACAAAAAGAAAAGCAGGCTGGAACACATAAGGTGGAACGGTACGATCATTTTTTTGCACTTTTCGTGCTATAGCAAGATTACAGTGAATCGCAGTAGCTTGCACTGTTACACACTGGCCTTCGAAGTTCAAGAAGTTCATTTTGCAGCCAAGCGATGCATCAGTTGTAGATATCCACTTCAATGATCCGACAAATGGAAAGTTGCTGGTATGCAAAAAAGGCCTCACTAAAAGGGTTAAATTTGAAATCTTTTAGTCGCACATGAGTAGGGAACATCCTCTTAAAATCTCAGCGTTCCAGCT